CCATTATTTTTTGGCAAAAGTTTAAGAGGTTCAAAAGATAGGTGCTTTGAAATGGAATGAGTCTCTACCAATAAGGTGAGTTGGTGTCGCATGTTCATTGGTGAAGCCTCCCCTTGCCCACGGCATGCATTAACTCAATCAAATCAAATTAAATATTTTGCAATGCCTCTCTTGGTGGGTGTAAGATAACTGCATTAACTCAATCAAATTAAATCGGTCATTCTAGCTATACGTCGGACATGGACAAATCGAAAATCAAAGCAAATCTTTTACATTAACTCAATCAAACCAAATCAAATATTTTGCATTAACTCAGTCAAATCAAATCAAATCACTTCCTACATTACAATATGTTGGGTGTAAGGTATATGTCGGATATGAGTGTTGAGTCACTAGAATATGTATGCCTCCGTTTATGAACGCCCAATTAGCTATATATAATAGTAGTACAAGTTAGAGACATCTGTTTTAGTGCATGCTTTCCAGAACATTATATTAATTTTCTCAATGTGGTAGTAACCTGAATTGTGTCAAGTAAAATAAGTCTTGTCTTCCTTTGGATTGCACGAAAACATGAAACTGCAAATATTAAAGTATTATGTTGTGCACACGCAGGTGTTGGAGATAAAGCGCAAGATGGAGAAGAAGTTGGAGAGTCTGTAGAACAGCAAAAGGATGGAACTAAAACGACCACTCATTTCAAATGGATACCTTTCCTGGAGAGCAAGTTTTTATATGCCCTTCAAATACTTGGAGCAAGTAACTACCCATCTTAGGCCCAAGCACTTTCACTTCAGGATTAGCCTTTCTCGATTTAAAATCGATAATATGAAATTGTACCTGTTAATTCATTTCAGATGCATCGCCCAGCAAGATAAAGATAATCATGAACGTGGATACTGTTACGAGGAAACAAATTTCTGCGCATCTGCAGGTGTGTTCCCAATACACATTTATTGAACTCTGGAGCATGTATGGAGTCATTTCAAATGAGCTAAGTCAAACATGTAATTTGACTGAAATAAGCCAAAGTGTCTTGTATTAGAAAACTTAATATAAAATGCTTTTGTTTATAAGTTAACAATACAGATGAACAGTGAACCCAAATTTTTGAATTGAACAACAAAACGAAAGGCCTGATGTTATATAGTGTTTTCTAGTACCTAATTTATGAAGCTAAAGTTTTCATCTTTGAATGATTGTCTACTAATAATTGTGTATTTTATATTTTCAAGAAACATCGAAAGCGTATGAAAAGGGAACAAAACATGGCAATGTTTATGGATAGCTACGGGAATTGTGCCTCAAGTTCTAAATCCGTGAAGACTCGTCATACAATCCCTTACATGTCGGGCTATCATTCAGAAGACGATGTCCAAAGAACAATGGTGAGCTAACAATGGAAAGTTATTTATATATTATATTACTCAGAAAATAAAGTTAACACTTCAGTGATTAATTAGTCTTTCTAATTCATCTCAGATGCCAAACTTGTTTGGAGACACTCAAGGCGTTGATGTATCTGCAGCAATGCGAAGAGCCTTACAACTTGGGGCTGTTTTTGACGAGTTCCAGTATTCCAATGGTCCTTCTAGTGACGAACCATGTGAAGTTATAGGACATATAACAGGAGAAGATGGCATTGTTGATGAAGCTAATGGCTCAAATTCATCTAGTCGTGATCAAGTTGCTGCTCAAACATACAATTCAAGAGCTACACAAGCAATCACATTCCGGAACAATTATCATCATGACCAAGTCTCCAACATAAGTAAGGTTCCAGTTGAGGGCCTTGTAGACTATCCAGATTCCGAGGATTCTGATTAACAGGAGATACCTTAATTCAACTAGATATTATTGAGTATGGACCTGAAATCTCACTAGACTCTATGGTGAGTTGAAGGTAATATTAGGGGCCTAATCAAAGTGTCATTATTTTCTTTGCAAGATTGACCAAGACATTCCAATAAGATTGAATCGTGAGTGCTAGAAACTAAGAAACAAGATAGCTTACTCTCCGATTTATACTAGATATACTAGTTCGCTATTCTTGTAAAGAAAATCATGAGTGAGAACGACATCGTACCAGTTTGGACGAAAAAGACGACTAGGCGTCCCTCATGGACATCCAGGTCGCCGACGAACCCAACTCCACCCGTAGAGTCAGCTGCACGCCACCTCGATCTCCCTCTATATGGGAAAGTACCAGCCAGGGCTCTGTTCGCGTGTAGCTGCCCTCGGCCACCAGCAATGGTAAGGGCCTGCTGCGTTGTCCGGCTATAGCTCACGATGTTGTCCGGGTATCATACCGGCTGCGGTGCGCTCAACGGCCTTTTTTCCCACTGCTCACTCTGTCTGACATGGAGAGGCCCTGTCGCTCGTCGAGTTGTCCAGGCAGGCCTGCTTCCTGATTCTAGGGCCCTTGCCTTTTATTTTAGAGAATCCAGGACCTTTGCCTTATGGCCATGCCCAACGGGAGTACGTACAGGGTGCGGCGCACATAGCAAAGCACGAGGTTTACTGTAGTGCGTTTCAAATTGCTTTGAAAACAGCAAACATATTTTGAAAACACAAAATTATTTCAGGTTTGTCAATATTCATTGAAAAAGCGAACACTTTTTGAAACTTCCAAAACCATTTTTGGAACGGCGAACAATTTTTGAAATTTCAATGATTTCTTTCCGAACAATTATTGAATCAGAAGAAAACCGGTAAAACAACCAAAAGGAAGAGAAAAAACCTACCTGAACCATACCGAAACCTTCTAGAAGGTTCCTAAAACTAGGAAACTTGGCGCGAATTGGTCGCTCCAAGAGTGTGTTGCATGTGCGGAACTTAGACAATCTGCCACAAATAAGCGATGAATAGGAATTGACATGTGCAACCACATGCCCAAGTGGCATTAATTGGCCTATAACATGTGGGTTAGCATGTGGCTGAATTGACAGGTCAGAAATTCAGAGCGCCACTGCAACAAAAAGAAAATTCGGGGGCCCTAAAAATTGAAGGCCGCGTCCCATCGCACATGTCACGCACCCCTAGGGATAGGCCTAGTAACATGGAATAGTGACTAAAACAGTAGGCATATATGGCATGGGGCTAATTGTACCTTACTTTATACAAATAGATGACTCGTTGCGACCATCGCGAAAATATCAAATGCATCCGAGAAGTGGCTAACTATATGAAACTAAATTAATACATTGTTGGTCGGGTAACATGGCATGGTCGAATCATGGGTCGAAGGCCCGAGTTCAGCCTTTGGCGCCATCGAAATAACGACTTTCGGTGAGATTTTGATGTTCTGTGGCTTTATGGATGTATTCCTGGCCTACTGATACACCAGAGCATGATAGGGAATGTTGATGGTGCGCACTACCCTCCACAGCGCGCCCCTTGCCTTGTGCCTCCCTCGTATGTCTTCTGGGCTCCTTCTGAAGCTTCTAGGGTATCTTTTTGTCCAGAAAAAATCATCAAAAAGTTTCATCATCTTTGGACTTTGTTTGGTATGGATTTTCTGAAAAACCAAAAACAAGCAGAAAATAGGAACAATCACTGAGCACTGAGTTAATAGGCTAGTTCCCAAAAATGATATAAAAATGACATATAAAGCATACAAGATTGATAATATAATAGCATGAAACAATAAAAAAGTTATAGATACTTCAGAGAAGTATCAAGAGTGCATCAAATACTAAAGAACGAGATCCTCTTATACATCTCTAGCTCGACAATTGCAAGAATCTAGTTATCAACTTCAGTTATCTACAAGGCCATGCAAGCTTTTATCTTACCACCAGTTTATACGTATTACTCTCAGCACCAACATATAATTCATGCAAACAACCAATTGTTATTCAACTCTCTAAACAACTGAGTTTCTTATTATTGGATTTCTATCTTTGTTGCTCGAGGATGGTCAAGGTTTAAGCTTGGGGAGGTTGATGACTGATATTTTTACGCTCATCACACCGTTGTTTGAACAGGATAATCTTCGAAATTCTGAGAAAATCACTACAATATTGCCACTAATGACTAATGAATGCGAGAGATCGCAAAATCCTTCGTTTATTTTATTTTCACAGAAAAAGAGGCCATACATGAAGACAAAATATTGTTTATAAGGAAATAAGAAAAATGGAGAAGGAAGGAAGGAAGTAGGAGACGCAATAATTGATATAGAGCAGAAGATGATGTTTGGTATGAGCAAGAACAGATTTCATATTTGGTCCGTTAGTATCGATGACTCCGTGAAGTTGGTTTTGAGAGTCCGGGAATACGTTCCAAAATGTCTCGTCTGATCAGTATTTTTGTTTTCAAGTTAGCGGTGTTAAAGAAAGACGGGCTCTCACATTGAAAAACACGTAGGGCATGCACGATTGCCTGGCTCAGTGTGCGCATCGGTCGCGTCCTGCTGGGCTGTTTCGTTCATTGTTAGGTGGATGTCAGGTTGTGCCACGGCCTACTTCCCTCGTGGCCTGTTGGTTGGATGCCTTGTTTTTAGTTGGCTGCCCGATATTTGGACTTTTTATCTTCCCCGATGGTTCCGAGTCACCTCGGTTGTTAAGAATAGTAGTCCTGGTTCTGATGGTTCAATTCATGTACCATAGGGGGGAAGGGTGTGATCGTCCTCTCTATTGACCCGATTGTTGGGTTGCCCTGGCCGGCTAAAGAAGGACATGAGAAGCTATCGGCAAACCAGGACGGTTCCTGATACAGTTTGAATGCAAACGAAAGAGAGGGTAAAATAAGTCAAGAATTGTGCCATATTGCCATAGGAGTTGATACTGCCAGAGGGTTAGTCTCTGCGCCAATCAGAGATGTTCAAGTTGTCATCACGAGCTAAAGGTATTCATAAAAAGAATGTCTACTATATGTGCCGCCCATAGATTGCCTAGCTTTATGGTATTGTAGGCGTGTTTTGTGATCTCTGCCCGGCCTTTGGATGATCTGGCCTTGCTAGATAGAGGGTTGGTTCGGTGGGGCATGTGGTTCTGACGGTTGAGGTCGGTTGCCGTGGGTGGGGGTGCGGTCGGACTTCCTGTCAATCCGGCCATTGGGTTGCCCTGCCTAGCTAGCGAAACACCTAGGCAACAATCGTCATTGTCTGTCATTGGTAAATATACAAAGGCGATACAAATATAATTACTTATAGGATATTCACTAGAAAATTCCTTCAAATGGTACACCTAATTTCCCAATTGTTGTTTTCCTATCATAGTTACCATACATGGAAAGGTCGGAGCATCAAAAACAAATCTCCAAAGAAAGCTATGGGAAATTATCACCATCAAGGCAAATAGAAACACTTCACAAGTGTAATAATTAGCACACAGTTGAGAAAAAAATCCTTCAAATAGTTTGCTTAACTTCTGGGTTTCTGTTGGTCTCTACGCTAATTGGCACACTGGGTCATCTAGTAAACATATAAGAGTGTGAGGACCAAGGAACTGTGCACACAAGACATGGAATATTCAAACGCCAGACTGAACCCATCCACCAACAAAACCTGAACTCATAACCACCCTCAACCTAATCAATGCAGGTCTAAAGCTCAAACAAATGTGTATCCAATCGCATCCGCCTCCAGAATAAGGAAATATGTGACCCCTCCATGGAGTAGTTGCAACACCTTCCTCCATCTTAGGCGATACGCGCTCGATCACATGAGATAGAAAAAGGTTGGTGCAGTGGCAGTCGTTATGCTCACATGGTTGAATTGATAAGTACCATCCAACCATGGAGCCTCTGCCCTTCACCTCAGCATTCATTAACACGCCGATGACATAATGCGATGGTCCCAACCATCTTGTCAGTTATAAACCATGACGTGTATTCAATGTTGCATTTTCTTATTTGGCTCTCTCTGGGTGAGAGGATGACACATATCTCGTAATACAATGAATGACAAGATAATCTGGACCATTTGTCGCCGCTTCGGTTCATCCGCTCTCATATTGTGCCAACATTGTTACTAAAGCAGCTTTTCTGGTTCCTTCGAGACCCTTCTAGTATTAAATACAAGTTCTTTTCTATAAGAACAACCCACATCCATCAAACACCCATCGCTTTCCCTTTCACCCTTTCTTTGGCGTTCTCTATTTTCCTGTCCCACCAAGTTATAGGTGAGAAGGCATGAGAGAAGAGTCTCCTCTTGTGTTGCTTGGAGAACTGAGCACCGTCGAGGAGGAGGAGGAGGAGGAGGAGGAGGAGGAGCATGACTAGCGGCGGCTGAAGGTGAGCTAATCTAGTGAGATCATGATTATTGTGTGTCTTCTCCATGTGGCTGCTCTCACTCACTGGCTCACCACATCCAGCAACTCTACAGCTTCGGCATAGGCAACCTTTTCAACATAATGTTTGAGAGGCTTAATGATGAGGAAACCATGGAAACGACTCTAGCCGGGGGGAGGACTGCCTCAGGGCCCTCCCAAACTATCTTCTCTGCTATCTTATGTCGTTACCGCCTTCCCGCGGCTCTGTGTGGACGTGCGCTCTTGCTAAGCGCTGGAGCACTCTCTGGAAGTCTGTGCCCGCCCTGCGCATCGATGACCCCGACAGCTACGACGGTGTTAGTGGCTCCAGCAGATTTGTGAACGAGTTGCTTAGTCTTTGTGACCCAACTCCTCTAAATGTATGTGATATCACTTCCGATTGTCAGGAGACTGCGGCTGACAACACCGGATGGGCCTACGAGGCATTCCAACATATGGAGCCATGGCTCTGGTATGCTCTATCATCTCAAGTTCAAGTGCTTAAAATTTGTTTTCCTTGGCGGGTAATCGACACAACTCTCATCTGGTCACACACTTGAAGAGCTTACATCT